TGTAACAATGTCTGGTACAACCGTGACAATGTATAACAGTGTAACAATGTCTGGTACAACCGGGACAATGTATAACAGTGTAACAATGTCTGGTACAACCGTGACAATGTATAACAGTGTAACAATGTCTGGTACAACCGGGACAATGTATAACAGTGTAACAATGTCTGGTAGAACTAGGACAATATATAACAATATAACAATGTCTGGTACAACCGGGACAATGTATAACAGTGTAACAATGTCTGGTACAACTGGTACAATGTATAACAGTGTAACAATGTCTGGTACAACCGGGACAATGTATAACAGTGTAACAATGTCTGGTACAACCGTGACAATGTATAACAGTGTAACAATGTCTGGTACAACCGGGACAATGTATAACAGTGTAACAATGTCTGGTACAACCGGGACAATATATAACAGTGTAACAATGTCTGGTACAACCGGGACAATGTATAACAGTGTAACAATGTCTGGTAGAAGCATGACAATATATAACAATATAACAATGTCTGGTACAACCGGGACAATATATAACAGTGTAACAATGTCTGGTACAACCGGGACAACGTATAACAGTGTAACAATGTCTGGTACAACCGGGACAATATATAACAGTGTAACAATGTCTGGTACAACCGGGACAATGTATAACAGTGTAACAATGTCTGGTACAACCGGGACAATGTTTAACAGTGTAACAATGTCTGGTACAACCGGGACAATGTATAACAGTGTAACAATGTCTGGTACAACCGTGACAATGTATAACAGTGTAACAATGTCTGGTACAACCGGGACAATGTATAACAGTGTAACAATGTCTGGTACAACCGTGACAATGTATAACAGTGTAACAATGTCTGGTACAACCGGGACAATGTATAACAGTGTAACAATGTCTGGTACAACCGTGACAATGTATAACAGTGTAACAATGTCTGGTACAACCGGGACAATGTATAACAGTGTAACAATGTCTGGTAGAACTAGGACAATATATAACAATATAACAATGTCTGGTACAACCGGGACAATGTATAACAGTGTAACAATGTCTGGTACAACCGGGACAATGTATAACAGTGTAACAATGTCTGGTAGAACTGGGACAGTGTATAACAGTGTAACAATGTCTGGTACAACCGGGACAATGTATAACAGTGTAACAATGTCTGGTACAACCGTGACAATGTATAACAGTGTAACAATGTCTGGTACAACCGGGACAATGTATAACAGTGTAACAATGTCTGGTAGAACCGGGACAATGTATAACAGTGTAACAATGTCTGGTACAACCGGGACAATGTATAACAGTGTAACAATGTCTGGTACAACCGTGACAATGTATAACAGTGTAACAATGTCTGGTACAACCGGGACAATGTATAACAGTGTAACAATGTCTGGTACAACCGTGACAATGTATAACAGTGTAACAATGTCTGGTACAACCGGGACAATGTATAACAGTGTAACAATGTCTGGTAGAACTAGGACAATATATAACAATATAACAATGTCTGGTACAACCGGGACAATGTATAACAGTGTAACAATGTCGGGTACAACCGGGACAATGTATAACAGTGTAACAATGTCTGGTACAACCGGGACAATGTATAACAGTGTAACAATGTCTGGTACAACCGTGACAATGTATAACAGTGTAACAATGTCTGGTACAACCGGGACAATGTATAACAGTGTAACAATGTCTGGTACAACCGGGACAATGTATAACAGTGTAACAATGTCTGGTAGAACCGGGACAATGTATAACAATATAACAATGTCTGGTACGACCGGGACAATGTTAATTATGTTAATATATAACGTGCCACGGTTGCGGCAGATTCCTGCAGTTTTCGCTAACATTGCCACGGTTGTACCAGAAAGAAACCTGCATTTGATTGTATATGGCTAGCGCTATGCGAGGACACACCCTTCGTTCGAATTCCAGTGGTCCGAATCCCAATCGTCCTAATTCCACTGGTCCTAATTACAGTGTTCCGAATCCCACTCGTCCTAATCCCAATTGTCTGAATCCCAATTGTCTGAAGGGAACTATAAAAACCATACCCTTATGAGTGTGGGCCTGATATGTTTGTTTTTATCACACCATAGGCATGTAGGATATAGTCTATATGATTGCGATCGTTCCGCTTTTTATGTCATCGCCATTTCAGGAAAACCGATCATTGGATTTTCTCCAAATTCCCACACATGATCATGGGTTTCAACTAGAAGGGTAGGCAACTTCCCATATTTCATACATAAACATTGCCATGGGTTTTCAAAATTGGAGAATGTACACATTCCAAGAAAATCTTATTTTGTTCTTTATATTGATGATTAAAAGAAATAACTCAAAAATAAAAAAATGATCTTCTACATACATCTTGATAATTTAATAAAAATTGGAATTCATCATAATTATGACAATACAGAAAGTGAACATTCTCCCACAAATTATGTTTTTATTGGAATGTGTTCTTGAATAATTACCCACAATGCAATACTCAAAGAGAACATCTTGATAACTCTTATTCTTATTGGTCTCTTTTGTTTACTTTTATATGATATTGAATATATTTTATGCTTAAATCATATTAAAAATTGATTTTTAATCAAAATCCCATGATTTATCTAATACTTTTTGAAATATTGCCATAAAAGGGAAGCATGTCATTGCTCATTTTGAAGGTCTCATGTTATTACATAGAGTTGCATACCCTTCTAGTTGAAAGCCCATGACATGATAGAGAATATCAAGTTCTTGAGCTGATTGACTTAAGGGCAGCCATCAAGTGTTTTCTTGTGGCCATTTGAAGATTTATCAAGGGTGTGATCTCATTCACATCATGTGTCTTGTTTTTTTATTTTTCTTTGGAGAAATGGTAAGGTGTTTTGAACGTGAAAATCCTAACATTGGCAGTTTCCTTACCTTATTTCTTCTCTTTTGTAACGACGATTCCTTTTTGAATGTAATGGGCGATCAATCAGTCAAATCAAAGCTTTATAACGGCGACAGTTTGGTCTTATATTTGACTCTTTCAAATCTCCACAAACTTTAATCCATTTTTGATTTTCGCACGTTGCATTTAATGGACAGAAGTAGATGTATAATGTAGTACGTAGATGGGAAACTTAGCAGTGCAAAATCACCTGTCAAAATAATAACATCATACCTTTTGCCTTAGTCTAGGAAAGCATAGGCCGAAGACAGCACAGCGGCTGTATTTGAGGTTGTAAGTCCTTCCAATACACCCCGGAAGATGATGATTACTAGTTATTTATTTTTTTGATTTCGTCCAAATACCCATTTCGGACCAAACATCACTAAAACGAGAGACTCTGTACAGTATTAGCAATGTACCTACAGAAAGGCATTTTTGTTTTGCTTTGTATGGTTCAAGTTTGAAGAAAAACGTTGCATTGTGAGAGTCACAATCCTTGATTATCCCATCGAATGAAGTTCAGAGGGATATAGGGAACGCCTCCGTCCGTCCGTACATGCGTCCATCCGTCCGTCCGGGCAATAACTCAAATACTGGTAGCCCGATTTTGTTCATATATTGTACACATATACCCTATGGGGGTAGAAGTTCTGCTTGAAAGCAGATTTTCAAAATGGCCGCTCATTTAAAAATGGCGGCCATTTTAGTGCTGATTTTACAGTGATTTAGGTGCAATATATAAAAGTGTAATAGCAATATGTTTCGAATGTAAAAAAATTATATAGGACATTGATAAAGCTAGAAATGTGGATATTCAAGAAGCACATGGCAGCCATCTTGAAAAATATTTTACTATAACTGGAAAAGTAGTGAAGCGATTTTGTTCAAATTTGGTATGTGAATACTATAAGCATGGTACACTGTCTAATGACACTTTTGGTAGAAGGCGGCCATTTTTTAAAATGGCCACCATTTTAACGTATTTTACTTGGCCTTCACTTGTTATTTTACGATTTTTGCTGTAACTTGAAAAGTAGTGGAGCAATTTTGCTCATATTTGGTATGTGAATACTATAAGCATGGCACACTGTCTCATGACACTTTTGGTAGAAGTCAGCCATTTTGAAAAATGGCCACCATTTTAAAGTATTTTACTATAACTGGAAAAGTAGTGGAGCAATTTTGTTCATATTTGGTTTGTGAATACTATAAGCATGGCACACTGTCTAATGACACTTTTGGTAGAAGGTGGCCATTTTTCAAAATGGCCACCATATTTAAAGTATTTTACTATAACTCGAAAAGTAATGGAGCTATTTTTTCATATTTGGTATGTGAATACTATAAAAAAAAGCATATTGCTTCTTCTGATGACAACTTGGCTAGTGAGCAACCATTTTGGTGGCCTTTCTTATGTGTGTTATTTTACGATATTTGCTATATATTTCGTTTGTAAAAATGCCAGCCATTTCTGTTCGATGGGATTCGCTATGCTTTGGCGTTGCCGTTGTTCTGGTTTTCAAACACCTGGTAGGTTTAAAAATTCAAATTAATGGTTTTGCGGTATGTTGTGATTTCGATACGTGACTTTGTCTGGTGCCAATACAGAACTTCTCGAGCACGATATATCCTGTATTGCACTTCAAATCATTCAATAACTTTGTAAGCGTATGTCATCTCCATCACCAGAAAACCTAATCGCTTTTATATATGAAACCCCTGCATATTTTTTAGTGTCAATACTAGAATTGAAAAAAAATTGCGATCTATGATTAAAGTTTTCTACCAAAATATTAGTTTTTTTTCATTAACAAGGCTAGATATTCCAAAAGAATGTGTTATTCTATCGTGGAATTGCATATTTTGAGAGAATATAAATTCAAATCATAGGCAAGGGAAGAGTACTGTTTAGCATAATATAGACTTCATATTGAGCTCAGTAGTACTTCACGATGCAGTCAGCTATACAGGCATGTTATTATGCTTTTGAGAAGTATATCCTTCAAAAATACACTTTATGATACATTCCAGGTTCGAACAGGAGATTCTTGGACCTGATGACACTGACGAAGATGTGGAACCAAGTCCTAAAAAACAGCAGACTGGAGGAGCAGGCTTCGTGATTGGAGCCAGTACATTCTCTACTGTTCAACAGAGATTGATTCAGCATGCTGGAATGCCTGAATCAGAAGGGGATGCTCCACCACCAGCCCCAAAAGCCCCACCAGGGCAAGTGCCAGCCTTAAGACCACCACCGCCTCCTCCAAAGTTCCTAGCTCCACCAACTTCATCATCACAGAATTTCTCAGGTAATTCATGAATAAAAAATGCTGAACTATAGTAAAATAAACACCAATATTAATATTGACCACTGAGGCCATTACCAAGTTGAGACAAAGCACTGTTTAGAGAGATGATGCAATTGGATATATGTCAAGTCATGTGTAAAAATAGTATATTATATTTAAGCATTTTTATTCTTAAGTCAAACCTATATAGCTTATTAGCCAATTAAGTAAAATTGAAATGAATATAAGTTTCTCTTCATGAAAGTAATTGTTTTTATTTTTCAGGTGTTGCCAAGGCTCCACCTCCTCCACCCCCAGGACCTAGTCCTTCTGGGCCCCCACGTAATTCAGTACCCCCTTTACAACCACCACCTGCTCCTCCCAGTTTCCTTCCCCCACAGTTAAGAAACAGAGCTCCACCCCCTCATCGTCCCCCATTTCCCCCTAGATTTCCTCCTCGCCCACCTCCAGGTATGCGTCCACCTCCCCCAATGATGCCTGGGCCCCCTAGGCCACCCCCTATGGGTATGCCACCTGGGGGACCAATGCCACCCTTTGGAGGTCCCATGCGAGGCCCTCCTCCCCCTGGATACAGACCCCCAGGAGCCCCAAATACAAACAATGCCCCCCAGGTTCAGCAGCCTAAAAAACCAGTAAAGGAAGAACCAAAAGTTGTTTATTCTGCGGCGCCATCTATCATTAAACCTGTAAAAGAAAAGAAAGAAAAGAAGAAGAAAAAAGAAAAGAATCATGAAAACTCAAAAAAGACTGAAAATAGTGATATTGATGGTGTTGCCATGGATACAACTATAGCAACCTCAACAGCGCCTTCATCCATTGTGACCCAACCCCCAGAGGCAACGCCCATTACTCAGACTCCTGCTGGTCCATCTCAGCCCAACAAAATAGACAGTGTATTTGAAGCTGAAGACATTGGGTTTGCAATGTTAGAAAAAATGAAAAAGGAAAAACGAGAGAAAAAGAAAAAGAATTTAAGGATGGCAGCTGGTCAGGTTTGGGAGGATACCAGTCTTCAGGAATGGAATCCAGGTGAGACACTACGAGGATACATCCATAACTTCTCATAAAATGTCTCCATGTGAGAGTGAGACTATACGAGGGTACATCCATAATGTCTCATAAAATGTCTCCGTGTGAGATTATATGAGGGTACATCGATAGATTCTCATAAAATGTCTCCATGTGAGAGTGAGACTATATGAGGGTACATCCATAATGTCTCATAAAATGTCTCCGGGTTAGATTATATGAGGGTACATCGATAGATTCTCATAAAATGTCTCCATGTTCGACTTTACGAGGGTACATCCATAAATTCTCATAAAATGTCTCCGGGTGAGATTATACGAGGGTACATCCATAAATTCTCATAAAATATATAGTCTCTTAAACCTGAGATTATGGACAAGCGTGTAATATGTATTGTTTTACTAATGCTATAGGCAAAAGGGTGATCACTGTCACATTCACATTAAAAATAGGAGTATATAATGGTTTTATGATACATGGAGTACAGAAGTGCTACCTGACAGAGATTTCAATGTAGGAGAGCACTGCTTCATATTAAATATTGTTTGCCCCATGTTATGTTCATCATTTGCAGAGTTTAGAAAAAACGATGATTACAAGTATTTTTCGTACAGACAATTTTCAAGAATTATGTTGCTGAAGTATTTAAGTGACTGACACATGATTTTCTCTTTTCCAGATGATTTCCGTGTATTCTGCGGCGATTTAGGCAATGAAGTGACAGATGAAGGTCTGGCAAGAGCCTTCAGCAAATATCCATCATTTGTAAAAGCGAAAGTTGTTAGGGATAAACGTAGTAATAAAACTAGAGGCTATGGCTTCGTCAGCTTCAGAGATCCAACAGATTTTGTTCGAGCAATGCGAGAAATGAACGGTAAGAATAAATAGATGGCAGTACTTTAGGTTTTTTAGATTCCCAGGAAAGCAATTGAAGTTGTACCAGCTCCATGAGTTCTGGTGGCCCTTATTTTCTCAAAATGTTATTGCACTTTGAAAAAGTGCTCTATTGTCGTTGTCTTGTGCTGCTTGGCAGGCTTTTGGGTGGATGGGAACCACATAAATATTGTCATCAAAATTCCAGGAAAACCACTTATCATTCAACTTGAAATTTTTACACATGCAAGAAAAGATAATTATAGGATATCCTATGATTTTGAGGAATATCATTTTTATCTACGAGGTGATATTGATATCTGCACGAAAGAGCGAAGCGAACGAGTGCATATATCAATATCACCGAGTGGATTAAAATGATATTCTGAAAAAAAATCATAGGATGTTCTTATTATCCTACACTTACAAGGAGTGTACTAAATGTATAAGCTTAATATCATTGCAAAATGAATTCCATGCCAAATAGAGTCAATTTGGCGGGAAATCAACAAGCGGAGTATATCGTCACAATATCCTCCGCATATTGGGTTTTCCGGAGTATATCGTCACGATATCCTCCGCCCGGAGTATATCGTTACGATATCCTCCGGATATTCATTTTGCCAATAAATATCAAATTTATTTTTTAATGTTATTATACATTTAGTACACTAAGTGTAGAATAAGTGCCATTATCCTATGCCAAGTAGAGTTTTAGGGAGATAATTTGGTAAGATATATCCCGTATCTTGATTTTGAGGTTTCCATATCCAGAACCTCCATATCTCCCGCCATATCTCCCGCTTCTGTGCATATCTTCCCGCTTCCAGTAATTTCACTTCACAATTATTTTTTAAAAATTTCTTTTTCAAATTATTTTTTCAATTTTAAAAAAAATATATATTTAAAAAAAAAATTTTTTTAATTTTTTTCAAAATTTCTTTTTTTCAAATTTTTTGATACATTTATCCTTTTGTTATATTGTTAAACAACACTTTTGTATTTCAAAAAGTTAATGTATTTAAAATTTAAAAGTGGAAATGCAATAAAATGACTATGCCCCTGAAAACTCTACTTGGTATAGGATATAGCAGTTATGTACGGTCGGTTTGGATATTGGGTTCATCCCTCGTGAGATATGCACATCTACCTTCGGTCCCTACAGTCCCTCAGGTAGATATGCATATCTCCCTCTGGATAAACCCCATATCCAAAACCTCCCAGTACATAACCCTTATATATCTGATCAGGTTTTGCTGGGTAAAGTACATGGCAGCCATTTTGCTCTTCAAAGTGGGATATTTATCACTGTGTGCTTTGTTCATTATTATACAAATATTGAATTCTGTGGAGTTGAATATCTCATACTTGAGTGGGTTTTGGGTAGATATCACCCGGGAATATATCTCGTATCTGAGGAGCAGGCAGGATATATTGTATATGTCCCGCTCCAGGCCAAATGCGGGCAGATATAATATATCCATCCCGCTCCCGGTAATTTTTCAAAAGTTTAAAAAAGTTTAAATATCAAAAGTTTTAATTTTTAAATTTAAAATTTTTTTTTTTTAAGTTTAAATGTTACAATTTCATTGTATTAAACAAAAAGAATATTACGAAAATGTTAAATATAAATATCTTGTCATCTGAAAAAGGTGGAAAAGGTTATATCTACCCTAAACCCACTCAAGTATGAGATACACCAGTTATGCACGGTCGGTTTGGATACATGGAATATCCCTTGGGATATACAATACATCTTCCCTCGGTCCCTCGGGAAGATATATTGTATATCCCTCGGGATATTCCCTGTATCCAAAACCTCCCAGTGCATAACCCCTATATATTTCTAAAGGTGTATTCACCGCAGCCCGAAGGGCGAGGTGAATACATCCCTAAGAAATATATACAGATATTAAACGATCACAGAATTCAATATTTGTTTTATTATTTCCTCATTAAAGTGTAGTACACACAATATTAAATTTAAAAGTACACAATGTTGTTATGATATGACGTTTAGATTCAATGTATTTCCAAACGTTTGCCAATATTCTGTTAAAAATCACGATCTCTATCACACCATAATATATAAAAATTAGATTTAGATCTTCCATGTTAAAGTCCATAGTCTTCGTGCTTTGATTAGTTGACATTTTGAATACATTTGTAAAATCTTTATCCCGCGTTTGTTTAACAGTATTGAACCTTTTCTTGGAAGGACTTCCTGATACGACTTCACCGTCTGTCATATCGGACGAAAATATATTTTACTAAATTCCCGGGAATTAAGTGATGTGACGTCATTTTGATTAGATATATAGTGGTATTCACTAAAAATGACGTCACTGCCGGTGAATACACTCTTCACACGTTTTCTTTTCAGAGAGACATGGAATACCTCTATATATTTTTAGTCACATGGTATCTAATTGACCAATGAGGGAATGAGTATCACGGCATGGAAATAATAATTCTATTTATTATATACCCCATATGTATTCTAGATGCTCATTGGCTTATTCATGGTCACATGATATGAAATTGATGAACTAATTCCCTGGAAAGTTCTAAATCCCTGCTATCAGGGATATATTTTGCACTATTTCCCTCAATGGCAGTCACTATTTGTAGAAAAATATTCAATGTAACCCCATTGCATAGTTTTTATAAAGCCTGACCTTTTTTCCTAACCTAATTTCTGACACAATATTTGCCTTAGCTTTTAGCGTTGAAATAAAGATTAATGAAGTTTCATCCATTATGAGCATAAATAATTCAGCCAAATATATTGCCTTATTGTACGTATCACACTTGAAAGTGCATTATTGTTTTCATCTTTAAATGCCATAAAAGGTGAATGGAACAATATAATTCTTGTTAACGTGTTTCTCGTCAAACTCAAACTCGTCATCATCTATGACACATTAAGGTCATCCCTTGATCTATCAGATGGAAACTATTGGATCTAATAGGTTGCGCGTGTAGTCTTGACCTGTTTTTGGGCTTGTCTTATTTAATTGTTTAAGTGCAATATTATAGAAATTACTTAAGTACTTCACCTGATTCTCAAACATTAATAATTGCATGTGACAAATGCTATTAGCCTTGCCCAAGTCAGTCTCTTTTACTTATCTTGATTTCTATTATGACCGCCTTGTACCAATGAGAAAGCCATGTGCTCAACCGACTCAATGTTTATGTCGGTAAATTTGACCAATCAACGACGGTCCTGCTGCGTTAGCTCATTATTATGCACAGTCAAGACAAGTACACTTTTCACGAACAAATCCTTCGGCAAATCTTGCACAATGCATCATGGAAATACAAATGTTTAATCAAATAAATATCAATCAGAGTTTAGTGGATGTCAGAGCATCGATCGGATAACCCAGAGGTGAGAAGATTTCAACTAGAAACGTTGGAATGATTGCTGAAATTGTCGAACATAGCTAGATCTAGGCCGAGATTCAGATCAATCACTGAATTAGATTGACTACTACATGGACTAGGTCTTCGTGCATTTTCATCGCAAATTCAGTTTTAAATCAACATTGGATCGCATGATTTAATTTATATTAATGACTGCTTACATTCCAATGTACATTTAATTACATAATATATTGTAACTCTGAAGAAATACTCGAACAGATCATTAAATTTCAAGTCGTAGACAGGTAGTTTGTTTTGTTTATGCGGGTAAACCTGAAAACGTTTTGATTGGTCAATCAGACTGAAGTCACACATCGTGTCCACGTGATCTTGTCAATCAATACAGTTTTGTGATACCTCTGATAACGTATCTCGAATCCGCTGAATAACTAAGCATAATATCAGCGATGATGCATTAGATTGTACAAGGCGGTAATAATTCAAGATCAGGATAAGTAAAAAAATACTGACTTGGGCGAGCCTTAAATATGCCACCTGACCTGAGAGAAGCAATTTTGAAAAAACAATGCACTTTTTTGTATCCAATATCTGTTATGATATACTTCAAGAATAAATGAAGTATTTAGACTTTGTTTCCCCTAAATGAATGATGAATTGTGCTCGGAACACCCAGATTTATAAATTGTCTTGATTAGACACTGTGTTCTCCAAAACTTCAAGTCATTTTGGCATACTGGGACCTAAATGTATAATTTCCACTATATAAGCCCGTTTGAGGTAAATCCATGTGATGAGAATTTATCTGTAATTGTCATGGTTACAGTTAGCAATATGATTAATAAAAAAGTGTTTTTCACATTTTATATGGATATATTTGATCTTATGCTAGAATACATAGTTCAAAACCAAAATATTCAGTCTCCAATTGTTTTGTGGCAGTGGCTGCTGTTTGGCCATCTTGTTTTCTGGTGGTCATTTTGAAGGTTTTTCGATAAATCTTGTCATCGCCATTTCAGGAAAACGCTTGTCGGATTTTCTCCAAATTGGCACACATGATAGAGGATATCAAGTTCTAGAGCTGATTAACTTTTGGGTATTTTTTCTGGCGGCCATTTTGAAGGTGGTGTGATCTGGGTCATGTCATGTGCCATGCTTATGAATGCCATAAATTAATTGAGATCCACCTTAAAGCTGCCAATTAGTGAAAATGACATCAATACAAGATCTCATGAAACACTGACATCCCTGATCATGTAAAGTGATGAAACTTAAACTAATGTTTTATATATTCCAATAAAGAATAGAATGTGTCACATTGGATTTTGATTTATTGAGAAAAACATTGGCTCTAAGTCGTGTAGATGCATCATCTTTCAGAGAGGTAATTTGAAATTAATCCCTGTATACGTGACATACCAAAAGTCTATCAATAATCACATTAGACAGAAGTGATGTTCATGACACATCTATCACCATCGATTAGTGTCCATGTCTTCATTAAAATTTGTCACAAACACATTGGTTTGACGGCAGTTTTGAGGTAAATTATCACATTAACAACTTTTCTTATTTAGTAGTAACCAGAAATTTCAAAAAGCCTTTAGTTAAGCT